TATTAGGACATATACAAATAGTCTGCTGGGAACAATGTGTGCCTCAATGTTTTTTGTGCAAAAAAAGAAACTTCCACAATAAAATCCTTAAAAAAAAGCTCCTTGAACTCCTTCTACTGCACTAAAAATTCCACAATCTATGCATATGCAGATGTTGTTCATTTCCTGTCGTCAAGGTTCCCATGCATCCTAAAATACCTGGACATTTAGAAACTAGTTTTTCAGTTATGGAAACACCTGGAACCAAAAATCATGGAAATAATTTAGGATAATTTTCCTGCATAAACCTGGGTGCGTATTTTGTATGAAAGTTGCTAGGATAAGCTGCACAGTGTGACACTTCAAAACTTCTACGTTTACCAGATGTGTAATGAAAGAATTCTCCCCTTTCATTCGGGCTCCCATGCCAGTCAGTCGAACTGTTCATAACAGAGGCAAAGCAGACTTTCAAAGATTTTTTCAGCGCCCAGTCATAAGCGGTATTGTGGTCACATCTGCATGCGTACAGCCTATATTGGAGCCAATATATTGCTTTGGTTGTTAAATACATGAAGAACGATGTTACATGTAACAAACACTTCACCTGCCAAACGTGCCACAAAAGTAAACTAATGTGAAGTGATAAATAGTGTTGGGCAGTAAGGTATTACTAGTAATAGTATTACTTTCCCCAGTAACTAGTAGTAAGTAATAATACTTTTTCAGAGTAATACATTTAATTTTTGAGTAACTAGCCTGACACTGCCAATAAACACTGCCCACCTACCTATAATCACTGTAAACCCTGCATCATTAAATGATATGGCCATATGATTGTGAGCAAGGGCTGGCCTGTATTGTCAAGAAAAACTCTTGGAAAAAGATTTCTGAGAAAGAGTGGGAACTCTGAGATGTTTCCGACTGTCACCTGTACAAGAGTCGATTTCTCCAGCGGATTCTGTGCACTGGTGGCTTCTAAGTCTTCTAGCATCACGAGCTGTACAAGTTGATTTACTGGACCAGGACTGACTTATAACTTACACTTCAAATCCAATGTTCAATGAGCGCAGAGAAACTTTGCACTTTCAGCAGATGAATGTGAAATCCTTCTAGTGTCAAACTGTGCACAGAGAGCATTCAAACAGCACACTGTAGAAACAGGAATAAACACTCTCTGATTGGAGGAGGAAAAAAAGACAAGAAACGTCCTTTATGAAGAAATAAGTTTGCATTTATTGGACAAACCAAACATAGGCAAACTCACACAGTGTAAAGATGGAACATGTCATGGGGTGAAAAATAAATGAAAGGTTTCATTCCAAAATTTCACACATCCATTTGGAAAAAATATATTAGTGTGTGCACATGGATTCTCAGAACTGTTATTACTTACAGGATTATGTTACAGTAATTCCCCCTACTGGATCTGTCCTGTCAACATATTGTTTCCACATGCTGTATGTATCATTTTTGGAACAAAACTCTTCAGATATATAGATTTATTTATATACTTTATACATTCTTTTCTTGCTGTACATTTAAGTCTCATGCTTTGCTTGAAACTGTGCTTTCAGCATTTATCCTCAATCACATGACAAATACGGAAAAAGAGCATACAGTATTCAGGATCAATGCTGCATAGTTTCAACTTTGGAATATCAAACATAATTTCTTTGTAAACCAGCAACTAGTGTGTATGGGAGATGGAAACTGTATGAAATCTGTCTAAAAAAAACACATCGTTGGTCTTAGATGCAAGAATGTTTCACTCGTTTGAAATATTTTGGTGATGGAAGATGCATGTGGTCTCCGTCTATCATAAGCAGGCAAATCTGAGGCATTGGACAAAAGAAATAACGTGTGAAAAGTGTAGCAGTTCATATCACCACACACATGTCCTTAAAAGCAGTGGAAGTAAACGGTTGGAGGATGTATTACAGGAGAAAGTTAGGGAATACCAACGACTGTAACCCATAAAAAGCTGCATCGAGTGTCTGACCATGAGACAGTTTCAGCACAAAAATCACAAACAAAATCCTGACATTTTGCGACAAAACAAAAACAGAAGCAATAAATAACACAAGGCTAAAACAATGAGAAAATCTCAGAAATGTTACTTACAGAGAAATATTCAAAAAATCCTACAATTTCCTATATAAAGATGCTGTCCATTGAGAATCAAACAAAAACAAAAAGAAAAACAAATGCACGGAGTCACTGCAATCTTATAACAGGCTTTAAGGATGGTATATATTCTGTTTCACCAGATAAAGGCTAGGACAACATTCTGAACCCAACCCAGCTACCTAACACTTTACAGTAAGAACACTTAAAAATGGTTCATGAGGATAGCGACATGTCATTCCCTTGTAATAACCTCCATTAAGGCAATTGCAGAAAACACAGAGAGAATTTGTACGCAGCCCGCAGGCTGAAGCAGAGGAAGGTCGCCGTTAAAGTCATCGTTAGGTTGCTAATGGGGGAGGAAAGTAACAGCTATTTAGATCACAATCAGAAAATCTCCAGTGATGACTTGTTCGCTGCCGAAGTGGCTTTAGTGGCTGTTGTCTTACACATCCATATATATATCCAAAAGTGAAGCCAAAAGATTACTATTGCCCTCTGGTGGCTGACTGCAGGAGAGGTCATAATGTTCACAGCCTCCAGGTAGTGCACGTACAAAAGTTCATGTCAAATAAATTGTTTCCAAAGATGGCGTCAGTCATTTTAGGTAGTTCTTATCACGCTGATGTATGTTCAAGTGTTCATTTTTCAGATCAATTTGGTTTTAATGAGTTATTTGATGCTATAGAAAGGGGCTTTCACATCATGATTGACAGCTGAGCCCTGCTAGCGACTGAGTCGGCCAGGCGTATGGGCGGGACTTTGATACCACGGCGGCAATTCCGATCACTACTACACAGACAGCTCTGAATTATATCACTAGCACAGTTTGTATGTATTTTCATACATGGGAGGAAGTGGAGACATCTCGATGGTGTCACAACAAGACTACATCCACACTGAGCCGGCTAATTTTTAAAAAGCTGTGATAACGACGTGTCCACTTCACTGTTAGACAGTCCCTCCTGGTAGTTACAATCACAACAATGAACACAAATTCAACCAGTTCGCTCACTCACTGAACGTACTACACACAGTACGCCCTGAGGAATACACAATCGCTCCCTCTCTCATGTCATGAAGTAGGAAGTAGTAGCAAACGTATCTTTAATATCAAACTAAACTCTCAGCTCACTAAGTTCAGTTCTATTAAAGATTCTTGGAACCTTGGTGCTATCCAGCAAACAAGCCTGTATTTCCACCAGTTCTGAGCAGACCCATAGTAATCGGATACATCATCAACAGAGGGGCTGCACAATAACCTAGGATATGACCACTTGGACTGACATGGTCCAGTTACTGTGCTGAGTCTCAGCCAGTTATAAGATAATTAAAAATAAGAATCATTGTGTTTTGATTAGAATGGAGACGTTTTGTCTACAGCTTTGGGTCGCCTTTAATGGAGTCCGTCATGTTTTTACAGTAGCCCAGAAAGGACAAACCAAACACTGGCTTTATAAAGGGGCACTGGCAATTTCTCCTACACTTTTGGAAGCTGTATTCAGTTGGTTGTAATGTGCAACTTTACCGCTAGATGCCACTAAATCCTCCACACTGCTCCTTTAACTTTGCAAATTTAACCGGCTCAGCTTAGACATACTTCAAGGGTGAAAAAGGGGGATGTCATGGTAAAAATCCTTAAATCAACTCAGAATTCTTCTTCAAGACTAAATCTGCCACCAACCATTTAAGAAAACAAGGAAGAAAAGACAGGACAGGACATTTATGGAGTGTCTCAGAAGTGAGTCCTCACTTTTAGCATGCTCTCCATTATTACACCAACAAACAAACATTCAGACAAAATAGTAACCGTATTTACAGCAGCTGATTGGGAGTGGATCGCATACAGACTGTCTCAAATCAAATTGAGTATTAAGCCAATCATTTCAAAAGTACAAAGAGCAAACTTGTGGGTACACCAATCATCAATTCTAAATGTCACGACTCACTACAGTACATGTGGGTCTCCTCGCCGTTTCTTAAAGGTTGGAATGGAAGTGACAGCAGTAGTGCAGATGGGGAAATCAATCAGAAGGAACATACAGGTACCAGAGTGTCTTGGATATTTTACCTGGGTGTCGTTGGTAGCCTTGTGTATTGCGTATGGCTTGGAGATGCTGCTTTATGCACATACAAGTCAAGGAACCAAGAGGTTTTTCTGAACGACCACACTCCTCACTGCTGTTCTGTGGCTGCATTTCCTCAGAAAACAGGAGCTTTTATAGTTCTTCATAATCACCGTCATCTCTTTTGACCAAACCTGCTCCTCCACCCAGGAAGTCCTCCAACTCGTCCACTTCTGTTTTCTTGGTCCGGGTTTTCTTTTTCTTTTTCTCATCCACTGCTGCAGCTTCATCTTTCTCCTTTTTCTTGTGTTTGTGTTTCTTCTTGCTCTTTTCATCCTCCTGAAAACGGAAGGACACAATTTAGTGTATTGAGATCACAGTGTTTTTATACTGCTTAAAGTATGTAATATGAACAACAATAACTTTGCCTCTTTGCTTTTCTTCTTCTTTTTCTTCTTTTCTTTGGAGGAGTGTTTGCTTTCTTTCTCTGAAAGAGGAGCAGATGTATACAAAGTCTTATAGTGATGTAAGACTGAAGTGGTAGATAGATGGATCCTTCTTCAAGTCTTAAAAAGAGTTTTCAACCATTTGACTAAAACATTATGAAGGAGAAACTTTATAGCTCGATATTGCTTTAACATCCAAAGATTCAAAACTAATTAAAGGGGAACTTCGGCAGATTTTTACCCTAGTCTTGATCACTGGAAGTCCCCGAGTACTGTCCATAGGAAAAATAACAACCAGAATTGGTTCTAGC